TGCGGGTCACCCCGCCCGGGGCAGAGCGGGTGTTTCTGCGGGGGGGGTGGTCCCACCCCTTCGTTGATGGTTGTCAGTGTCCCTGCAAACGCAGCTGTCCGGCGGGATGTTTTTAGCCCTCGGTGGCTTGGCATAATCGGTAGCATAGGATTCGGGCGACTCGGCCTGCCTTGAACCTCAGTCGAGGTGACTCAGGTCGGTCCCGAGGCCGCACGGACCATTGGGCACCTTTGGTGTAGCAATAACGTGGTCCCACCCCTTCGTTGATGGTTGTCAGTGTCCCTGCAAACGCAGCTGTCCGGCGGGATGTTTTTAGCCCTCGGTGGCTTGGCATAATCGGTAGCATAGGATTCGGGCGACTCGGCCTGCCTTGAACCTCAGTCGAGGTGACTCAGGTCGGTCCCGAGGCCGCACGGACCATTGGGCACCTTTGGTGTAGCAATAACTGTCCCCTATTCTTGTACAATCCGCCAGTGTTAATCCCCTCTGGTCTTTGATGCTGGTGGTCCAGCATGTCCTAGGTCTTCCTCATCTTGGTCCGTCCACAGCCCCCTGCAGGATGGTGTTGTAAGGGTGCTGGGGCTTCTTGTTACATGCCCAAACCACTGCATCTTTCACCTTATGATTTCAAGTAAGGGTTGTATTTGCCAACTTCTTGTCTGATTTGTTTTTTCACAGATTCAGTAGTTGTGTGCAGTGTAGGGTATGTGTGAAGTCTCCTAAAGCACTGCATTTCAAAGGTCTCAATTCGATTTCCAGTGCCCTAGTGAGTATCCAGGTCTTAGAGCCGTAGAAAGTTGTTGAAATGACGACAGCATATAGTCAGTGGAGTTTTGTTTTTATCGTGATGTTGCTGCTAGCCGAGACTTTCTTTGGCTTCGGTGCTTGTCCAATGGGGATGGTTATTTTTGTTTTTACTTCTTTTTCTGGTGTAGCATCTTCTGTGATGGTTGCTCCAAGGTGTTTAAAGTATGTTACTCTTTCTAGCTTCCCGCTTGGGCCAGAGAGCAAGCGGCGAGTGTTGCTCTCGTCCCACCACTCGAGCAGTGAGTGCAAGTCCCTGCGTGTATGGGCATTGGCCCTGTACCACCAGCACAAGCACGCAGTTGCCCGCTGCAAAGGACTGCCTGTGCCTTCTTCCCCTGCTGAAGGGCCAGGTGCCTTCTCCTCCTTCCCTCCTTCCTTCCCCCCTTGCCCTGCCCCAGCCCTGTGCTCAGCAAGGGGAAACCCGCGCTTTTGCACATTTTTCTGGGACTTGCTTGCGATACCTTCAAATATTCTTGCAACCCACTTTTGGGTTGTGACCCACTGGTTGAGAAACACTGCTGTAAGGCATCTGACATGATTTGTTTCAGGCAGAGACAAGCATAGTAGGGTGTGGGGCCTGGGGCAAATCAGCCTGTGCAGGGCCCGGATGTGGCAGGGGTAGGGGAAGGAGAGGGGTTGGCGAGGGGCTGGACGTGAAGCCGGCCCGGCTCCATGGAGCCCACCAAAGTGTGGGGCCCGGGGCAGTCACCCTTAGTCGCCCCACCCCAGGGATGGCCCAGGTTCCAGGTATAGATTAAATAAGCATGGTGAGAGAAGACAGCCTTGGTGTACTTCTACTGATGTTGGGAGTCACTGTAGGAAAATTGTTCGTTTCCAGGTGAAGTTAGTCTCAGAAATGGGCTTGTTCATGTCAGATTTACAGCAAGGTCAGTTGTGCGCCATGTCTCAGATGGGTGAAGCTCTCCAGTGGCAGGAAGAGAAGATGTATTGGCTGTGTCCACGTGAGCGTGGACATTGGGTTCCCCAGGGACAAGTAGCAGCGGGATACCTTGTGCTGCCACTAGTTGTCCCCTGGGAATGCCTGTGCCACGTGCCCTCTGGTGTGCGGCAGGTTACCTTGGGTGGGGTAGGGGAGGCTCAGGTCAGCACTGGGCTGGCCCCAGCAACATTACCTGGGGTCCTGGGGGGCTCCTGGGGCTGCAGCAGTGGCAATCCTGTTGCTCGGAGCCTGGCTGACAGCCAGAGTATGGCTCTGGCTGGCCAGGCTCTGGTTTTGAGCAGCTCACGCTGTTCCTGTTTGTGCTGCTCCTCTTTTTTTTTTGTGCAGGTTTTTTGACCCATGGATATCCATGGGTCAAAAAAAAACCCTTGCGCTGCTCCCTTGCAGCACAGAAAACACCTGCATGTGCAGCATGCATCTGTGGTGCCACATACTGTACAGCTGTGCTGGTTTGGGTGTGGCTATTGGGGCTGTTCTTTGGGGTAAATTCAAGTCAACGCCAAGAAACTCTGAGCTATGCTCCCTAGTTAGATATGTAAATCTTCAGGGGACAGTGAATAATCTTCTCTCTATACTTCAATTATATCTGGACCCTCAACTGAAGGCATGTATGTGCCTACCATTTGGGACCTGGTTACCTGAGAGACCCCCTCTCTCACTGTACTGTACTGCCACTCATGAGATAAGCAGAGATGTTCGAGCCTGAGTTTAAAGAAAGGAGGAAAATGACAGGCTGTTTTCCGTGACAGATTCTTGACTCAGGAATATTGTTCCTTCATTGGTATGCGTATTAAAATCAGAATTTGTTAAACTCTTGAGCATTCTACATGTTTCTGTCTCTTCCTTAACATTGGGTTGAAGGTACATTGAGAATCTCATGGTTTCTAATTTGGTGGTGATATTTTTGGTGAGACAAAATTCTGTTGTTACTGTAGGATAGCTCATTAAAAGACCTATATAGTAGCTTTCAGATTTTTCTGTATGTCTTTTAGTAACGTAAAGGGTTCAGACTTACAAATGTTTATGGAGAAATTCAGCTAAAATAAGAAAATTCCATAACCTACTTCTGGTCCTTTGCAACATGGGTAAAGTTCTCCTCAGTGCATCTCAGAAAGGCCTAGTTTATAAAAGGATAAAATGGTAGCCTTCCAGATGCAAAACTCAGTGATTATTCACTGTTACAGAAAGTGTGCTTTGCTAAGAGCATTAAACCAAATTCATCACTAAGAAAACTTTCACTGAATTCAGAGGAGTTATATCATGTACAGAGAATTTGATGTAGTGTTCAATGTCTTGGATTACCCACATCTACAGAGAATAGACAAGATTCTGATGTGCTTGTCTGTGTGGGATATCATGCATCTGCATATAACAAAAGCAACTGCGCCACTTCTGAACTTCTTGTTGACTGACCCACTGAGTGAACGAATAAAATTAAGAGCAGATTTTGAATGGTGGTTCTTTATTCTGGCTTCTTAAAATTGGCTATAGGAAGATAAACTATTTAAAAAGAATACACTAAAGATTCTTTTTCTTTTCTTTTCAAGGCAAAAGCAACAACTATCAAGGAAGCTCTAGCCAGATGGGTAAGTACAAGAACAGTGTGTGTGGGAGTGTTTGTGGTACTCAGTGGCACAGATCTCAGTTGCAGCTAGAGTGGCTTTGTGCAGTTCGGCAAGTTCACTACAATAACACTGAAGCACCAGCCACCAAATAAGATTAAGGAAGTAACATTATTTTATGAATATGAAAAGGCATTTGAACTCCTGAGCTCTCTTGTTAAATTCCTGTGATCATCAAAGACCCATCCCATTTTGGCCTCTTGTCTAACACTGCCAAATTGTATGTTGAAGTAAGATCTGGAGCTCCAAGATTTGTGCTGCAGAATGTTTTCCAGTTTTTGTCCTTGGTTTACACACCATTCACTCTTGATCATCTAATCAGAATTTGTCCCTAGCGCAAAATAACCAAGTAGGAAATCCTGACCCTCAGTGGGGGTTTGCCATTAGATACAGTGGAATTAGGAAATCATTCTAAGGGTGGAATAAAGCAAAAATCCCCACAATAACTTTATTAAAAGCCAGTTCAGAATTAAATACTCTGAAGGTTAAAAATGATTCATAGATGTAATACTCGCAGGTGATATTTCCCAGGCTAAGGGTCCATTATATTGTCTGTGATGCAGTTCTTGTTTATCTTAACAGCAAGGTGGTTGTTGTTTGTTTGTTTTCACTGTTCTTCAAGTACACTGTCAATACAGATCCTTGTTTTTTGGGATGCCTTTAAGGACTCAGAGCCTCCAAATTAAGTCTGGAAGCTATAGAAAGTTCTGGGTTTTTTGGAGATCATCAAACAATAAGGTGAAATACTTTACTTCACACTGAAATCCCAAAGACTTTTCCACTGATCTCAACGTGCTTTAGATCAGGACATGTGTGTCTTTCCCCCTTCCATTCTTCCTCCTCCACCCAACAACACACACTCCACCCCCATCCCCCAGCCTACATACTAGTACATTCAAATTCATATCTTTTGCTAGAGCAGCTATTTACAGTGGTTTGTTTCTAGAACATTCTGGGCTTGGTGTGGAGTGTGCAGGTTGAACACAAGAGTACTGTAAATCTGCATGATCCTCAATTACAGGGGAGTAGATTCTTACTTCTTAGTTTCGGTATTGCTTAATGCTCTGTGTTTCTTTCAGTCTAAGGTTATGAAAACTTCACTCCTGGCATCACAGTGGGAGAAAAATGCAAAATCTTACAGAGTGTACTACTTCTAGGAATTTGAATTAAATAAGATTCTGACTCTTTCCACTCTTGTGCCCTAACATTTTTTTTAAGTTGATCAGAGGTAACAGAAATGTATCAAAAGGTTTGATCAGTGTTAAGGAAGGAGCATTGAGAAGGCTTTGAGTTCAGGATGTTCCTTTTTAATTACCCTCCTCCTTATACCCCACCTATGTCTCTGAGGCAGGCAGTGGAACTTGATCTCAAGTCTTGACTGCATTCCAACCTACTGTTTGTCCTGTATTAGAATTTACTTCTATTAATTGTACTTTAAAAGCGGATTGATTCAAATCTAAGTGATGTAACTCTTCTAACAGGAAGCTTTAATTTAATTGTTTTGTATCTGTGCTTGTTGTTGTTTTCCTAAAGTGAAATTGATTCTCATTATTTGGTACAAGATGGTACTTCCTTTTACCTAGCAGAAGGCTGTACTAAAGTTATTCATATTTAGTTAATTAAAATTTAAAATTAGAACTCTAAATAATTGTTTCATTTTTATAATATGTTAGAAAATGGTAAATGACACATCTCTAATTTTCTAGATTTTTTTTTCCTCCAGATGATTTGTAGAAAGCTAAATTTGGACTGCAATTAGAATTCAATTACAATGCACAAATGGGATTTTAAAATTGTTATTGGTTAGTTAACTAAAACAAATTTAAATATACTGAATATAAAGGAAAAATGTTTTTCATTTAGAACTGATTTTTATTAAGCAAAAAACGGTTATTTTTAGTGAATTGAACTGATTGTTTCTCATCATCACGTGGTTCCTCTTAGTTCTAGCTCTAATAGCCATCCTCGTGCACCTCATTTTAATTTGGATAAGTTATGAAGAAAAAAATAAGGGTTCTTGTCTTTTTTATTTCCCAGTTGGTCTCAACTATGAATGAACTGATCATTGAACTAAACTAGCTGAATAAACTGAAATGAAGAAAACAGTTCCTCTGTATCTGCACAAGAGGATACTACTTTCAAACGTTGGCTTAGTACTTAAATAAACTATGACTCCAAAGGGCCAGTGACTACTTACAGCTCATCATTTGACTTTTTTTAAATCTGTGGAGTAAATGTGCTATATTACTAGGAGTGAGTATAAGAGAATCCTATAGGTGTGGAGGGGGAAAATCAGGAAGGCCAAAGCATGAATTAAGATGCAGCTAGCAAGGCTTATAAAAGGCAACCCCTCTGCTTCTTGTCTCTAGTGGGTTATGGAATAGAGAAAATCCCACACAATTTACTGATTCGTTTTGATGCACTGGCTGGGGGAGTAGTTAGCTGATTGCACGATTTCACAATGATTACACACTTAATTTATACAACACAATTTTATTTTAAAACTCTTTGCTACGTATATAACACTGCTTAGCTTTAAGAAACACCACAAACATTAAAAACACAATAATTACATATATCAGAAACAATGCTCCAAATGCACTTCCTTCCCAAACAATGCTATAAGAATTAGTGTTACAAAAACAACTACAATTACAACTAAAAGTTAAATTTGAATCAATACTGTTATTTTTCATAATATACTTACAATCCTAGAATTCTGAGAAGCCAAATACCAAAATATGGTTTCATTCCTCAGTAGTACGATTTAATGGGTTGGCCTCAGTAGTACGGTTCAATAGGCTGGCGTCAGCAATACGATTCAATGAGCTGGGCTCACCAGTGATAGGACTACATCCCCTTCCTTCAGTCCCTTTCGGGCGCTCCGTGGCTTCAGCGTGAACTAAGAGATTCGTGTTCACGGAGAGGCTTGATTAGGCGATCAACCTAATCTGAACTTATACTTGCGATTCTTCCTTCGTTGTTCTGCAAGTGAAGTCACCTCCAAATTGGGACAGTAAGTTACAGGTTTTTATTGAGTGAGCTGCCGTCATTGGGCTCCTCCTACTCAATTCATCATAACTCCCAAATTTGGGCTCGGATCTTACTCAACAGAAATTACCTTTGTTGAGCATTTTTAAATTATTCTTGGGGAGACTTCCATATCACTGTAAATACTCTTTTCTTTTTACCAGTCTGGTTAAAAGGCCCCAGGCTTTGATTTCTCGGAATTTAGGACATTTACTTTCTTTGTAAAAAACTTCTAAAGGTACAATTTAGATTAAGGTTTTAGGCGAAGTCAGGACATTTCGCACGTAGCTCCAAAACAATGAGCTAGATAAGGAGATAGATCCTATCTTCTTCCTGAAACTGGCTAATGGGCAATCTTTACAAACATTCAAACTATTTCATTCAATATGACACTTCTCAACTGGCTACTGCTGCCTCCAGGTAAAACTGCCCTGCATGTCTGCTGCAGTCAGCCTAAAAAGGGCTGTACCACATACACAGTCTTCTTGCACTAGGGCTCTCTGCTAACCCTAAAACAGATAGAGCTGGCTTGGGCTGTCCTGCCCCTTCCCCACCCTCTTCCCAGAAACAGAGGCACTTGATTGGAACTGTGCTTCATGCTGCTGTTTCTAGGAGGTACACAAAGAGAGCCAGACCAGGAAGCATACTACGTACCAAGCCAGATCTGCCTGTTTTAGGGTTATCAGAGAACCGCATTGCAGTAGGAATGCATGCATGATGCAGCCCTGGGTATGGGGCAGTTCTACCTGGCTGCTGCCACAGCAGTCTCTGTATCACAGCATCCCTGATGAGATCTCACAACACCCCAGTTGAGAATCACTTAGGCTATTCTCTCTGAGACCTCATGAAGGTCAGACAAGGTCCTAAGATATTGGAAAAAGGCAAATACAGTGCCCATCTTTAAGAAATAGGAGGAGGAGGGTCCAGGGAATTACAGACCAGCCTGTTGAACCTCAGTACCCAGAAAAATTATGGAGCATATGTGACAGACTGTGGTTTTGTTGCAATATTTCTGGGTTTGTTGTGTTCATAGTTTAATAATTTTTCATGCCTCAGTTTCCCTGACTAGCTTGTACATGGTGAAAAAAGGGGTTAATTTTATTTGAAACCAGATCACTTGGCAGGATCAGCCTAAGTGATCTAGTAGCGAATAGTGTGCCGTCAAGCAATAAAGAGCTAATTTGTCTATATTGACATACCAACTGGATTCTGGCTAAGCACCTGAAGAGAGACGCCCTGCTATTTTTTGGTGTCAAGAAGGCACTTGAGAGGAGAATTGTGCAAAGAGACTGGTCTTCAAAAACAGAGACATCCAAAGACAAGAGAGAGAAGCCTGAGAGCCCTGAGAGAGAATAGCTGGGGCTGTTTTTCCTGGCAGAGGCTACCTGTGAGTTAGCCAGGGGTTTTCAGACCTGAGGACTCTGCCTGCTGTGTTCCTGTTAAATAATGGTTTTGTTTGAGATGAGCTGCCTGCTTCACTGCATGTGACTTTGGGTGTACCCTCTTCCCTTAAAAAGGTAAAAACCCTCTCCAGGAGCTAAGCCAGAAGGTAGCTCTCTGAAGAGGCATGGATAACCAGTGTATTGGGAGCCAAATTGCTGAGTCTTGACTTACAGTGTGGAAGCTATACCTGGGCTGGCTTCAGTGGGTACTTAATGAGACTATACAAGCTTGTTGAATCCAAGCATGTGCACCTCTGGGGAAATCTGTGACAGCATGTCATCAAGGAATCTATTTCTTAACACTTAGAGAATAATAAGATGTTCAGGAACAGCCAATATAGAGTTATCAAGAACAAGTCACATCTCATCAGCCTGCTTTCCTCCTACAAGGTGACAGGCTTTGTAGATGAGGGAGAGCAGTGGATGTAATGTACCTCGACTTTGGTAAAGCTCTTGACACTGTTTCCCACAACATTTTCATTAGTAAGCTAGATGGAAGTATTGTGAAGTGGATATCTGATTAGTTGGATCATTGTGCTCAAAACTGCAGTCATTCATGGCTCTCTGTCTAATTGGAAAGAAGTATTAATTGGGGTTCCACAGGTCTGCCCTAGGTCTGGTACTGTTTAAAATATCTGCTATTATGATTTGGAAGATGTGATTGAGTGCACACTCAAATTTTGTAGATGGAAAGTTATTAGGAAGAAAGATATTAGGAAGAACTTTCAAACTAGGAGACTGGTTAAGCATTGTGGAATCCTAGTCCTTGGAACTTTTTAAGAACAGGTTATACAAACATTTGTCTGGAATAATTTAGACAGGGATGATCCTACACTGGAGGTCATTTGGGTTGGACCAGATGACCTCCAGAAGTCCCTTCTAGCCTGAATTTTTTTCTATTATTCTGTAAGCTACTTGAAAATTATTTTCCATTTAAATTATTTCAATGGATTAAAGTAAGTTTAGACCTTAATATTGTCACAACCCAGTGATTTTGGTGCCTCGGCACGATGGAATTTTCTTGCCACGTGAGAGCCTCTTGCACAGCGAGGGTTTTTGCTGCACAGAAGAACCTCGGTGCAAGAGAGTTCCCGCCAATTTGCAGGGTACATTTCTTCTTTGCAGCACAGAAATGCACGGTGCAAAGAGTTCCCGCTATTCGAATGCAAATTTGTGTCCCGCTATTGGCTAGTTCTAAATTATTCCTACGTGGCGGCTAGTAATTGGCTTGCTAGCCGTTTAAAATTTCGTGCGACTTCAGCCCAAGTCGAAGAACTTTGAGCACGCTGCAGAGTGCCTCTAAAGAGATCTGACTTGCGGCTAGCTGATCGATGGACTGATCACCTATCGATCCTTCTTCCCGTCACCGAGCGCAATCCCAGACGTACCCTTTTTTCCGCCGGCTTAATTTGCGGACGGATTAACTGGCTTGGGCCTCGCCAGCTGGAACAACTCACATAGTTGTTCAGACGACTGGACCATCTGCGTCGCAACTACAAGCGGCGTAAGTAAACATTTTTGCAACCATTAAACCTTGTCTGCCTCTCCATTCACCAGCCCGCCCTAATGAACGAGCAATTTCTAAATCACCTCGAGTCGGCTCTGGCCGTCCGAGACAAATATAGGTTGTCATGATTTAATATTTAATTGTAAACAGAAAGTAGAATTCAGTGTCTCTCTACTGACCATTCCTTTCTTTCTTTTTTTTCCTTAGGAAGAAAAAAATAGCCTGAAGGCATCAGAGGCCAAGGAAGTGAAACTGTATGCCCAGGTTCCTCCTGTAGAGAAGATGGATGCATCTTTGTCCACACTTGTTAATTGCGAGTATGCTCTGTTTAAAAAAACAATCCTAGAAATACTAATTTTTATCATTATTTCTGGCGGGGTTTGCTGCCCTGTTTTCCTTACCTTTCTGTGTAGTTTTCATCTTAGCACCACTTCTTTTGAAGCTTTTCCATTCCTCTCATCCAAGCATCCTCCTACTTTTCAGCTTTATACTATCACTACTGTTTACCTGGGAGGAGAGGAAACACAATTCTTATGAATATTTACACAGACTTGGTATGAATACCAGCCCACAGACGGGCTAATAGATGGTATCCAGGTGTATCATTTTTATTCTGTATCTGCATTCCACATGTAGTGAACCTTGAGAACCTTTCAGTACTCCTGTAGACTTGTAGCTGCCACAAAGGCTATTGCTCATGTCTCTTTTTGAGATTGTTAACCAAAGTCTGCAGTGCCAAAATCAAGCTACTTGGGGGTTTCTTGTGAGCTTCTGTTCAGTAGTAAAAAATCCTTGAGGTTCTTGCATGCTGATTGTACTAAATTTTATTTTCTGTATTAACTTCCTAACAACTGAATGACAGACATACTGGGTGTGTTGATATGCCAAACCCTAGTGCCACACAGAGGTACCCAAACCAATTTGTTTAGAACTAGCTTGAGTCCAGAATCAGTGGCTAATTAACTAATAGCTATGCTACTTCTAATAGCCAAGCCAGCTTTGGTATCTGTGCATGGTGCTGCTTTGTGCCAGACAGATATACCATATTGTTCCAATTATAAGTTGACCCTGCATCTAATCCAGACCTACATTTTCAGATTCAGTTTTTAGGAAGAACAACTTTTTCTCTGAATACAAGTTAATAACTACAGATAAAAACCTTGAACTACTGCTGCCCTTACAAATTCCTACAAGCAAATCAAATAACTCTGAAAAGGACCCAAAGGACTAAAAGCATGAAACATACTAAAATAAAAACTGCACTGAAAAAAAATTCTGACTTAGTATTTTTATTGTATGGATATAAATACTGCTAGTACAGAAGTCAACACTTTCTTAAACTTGATTATAGGTCAACTCTTTATATAAATCAGATGTAATTTTATTATTTTTTATGCTTGGGGTGTTAGATTTCTAGGCAGAACAATATGATATATGCTGAGTTCCTGGTCCTCTACAATAATAGGAATTTTGATGTCTGAGTATAGGCTATTCATAACAATTCATTGGGCTCCTGTTTAGGACATTGCTTTCAATCAAAGGATATGCAAAGAGAACGTGGTCAGGTTAATTTTTGTGTGATTAGGAAGGAAGAAGAAAAATGAAGCTGAATTGCAGCTTCACAAAGAAAGGTTTGGGGAACACTTAACTTGCCTTTGAACTGGACCTAAAAAAAGAGGATCCTATGCATATGGAAAACAACTGGTAAGAAGATCTCAAAAGTATAAATAAATCTTAGAAGGAGGGTTAATATGAGGATAAGAAAAGGGTTTTATACATACAAAGTTGGTTTGCTACATAATCAGAGAAAAGTAAAATAAGATTTTATTCTAAGAAAGTCTTGTTTTTAAGAACATTTTTTGATCTGGTGATTCTTATCATTCTGTTAACATAAGCTGTTAATTACTCTTATTTTTAAAGGAAATTGTCTTTGTCTACAAACTGCATTGAAAAAATCGCCAACTTGAACGGCCTAAGTAAGTGATATGTCAGTGACTGCTTTTTTCCCTAGTTGTTTGGACTTACTTGTATTCCATAACATGACACGTCCAGCCTTTGACGTTGTCTTGATTATCATCTCTAATCTCTGTCCCCCAAAATTAAAGGTGATCATTAAAAATTGCATCAATATTATCATCAGAGGTGGGTCTTGGAATAACCTGTGCCCATGCAGAAGGTCGAAAGTGTTTTCTCTGTACAAGTGTCAAGATATATTGCCACACGTATGACCTCACTCAATTCTAATCTTCAATATCTAGACAAGTCTAAAGAGAGAGAGCTGATTTCCACATCAGTTTTGGGGAGAGTGTGTAGTACAGTACCTCTGTGTTTACAGTATTGCCTGCTGTAGAAGCTAAAGTAAACCAGAGCTGGTTGAAGAAAGGTAATTCTATTTTGCAGAAGATCTGGGTATTTAGAAATCTGGCTTTGTTCTGATTTGGAATGAAAATAAAACATTTTGAAATTCATAAAAGGGAATAGAGTCTTAGATCTGAGCAAGACCATCTGGTCTGGCAGATTTACCCCTGACTTGTGGACCTGGGGAGTCCCAGAGTCCAAGGCTTAGTCAGTTGGCCTGATAGACTGCCCTGGAGCTATGAACCCTGGGAAGCCAAGCTCTTGAGAAGCTGTGGGAGCTGAGCTTTCAGGGCTTCCAGGCTTTTGGCTGCCTGCCGGCCCATAAGAAGACACATGAAGGAATCTGGTCTATTGACTCAACAGTAAGTTTTCTTTATTTTCCTCCAAAAACAATTGTGATGCATAACTATACCCCCTGGAAAAACAAGTCTGTTAAATAACTATAAACTCTATATCAACAATGTACAAAGAAGATATTTTGGGTCACATCAAGAAACACTTAGCGTATTTCACGATGTATAGGTCGACACAGTGTATAGGTCAACCCCCGGCTTTCTGATTTGAAAGGCAAGGCACAGTGTGTAAATCAGGGCTGGGCTCAGCGCTCAGCTGGCATGGCCCCATCCCTGCAAGCGGCACTGCCAGTGCTGCTCACAGGGAATGGGGCCATGCCAGTTGAGCACTGAGCTTGTCCTCATCCCTGTTTCCGTCCCCATCTCCTGCAAGTGGTTCATCCCCAGCCAAGCGCCAAACCTGGTCCTGTCCCCCCATCCCCAAGCTTGGTGCTGCTCACAGGTGATGGGGACGGGGTTGGGCTCAGTGCTTGGGTGGCATGGCCCCATCCCCTGTGAGCGGTGCTGGCTCGTATGGGTTGGGGCTGCACCAACTGAGCCTGTCCCCATCCCTGTCCCCTGCAAGCAGCACCAGGCTCATGGGGGATGGGACTGTGCCACCCACGTGCCAAACCTGGTCCTGTCTGCTGTGAGTGGTGCTGCTGAACTCCAAGCCCAGTGCTGCTCACAGGGGACAGGGATGGGGCTGGACTCGGTGCTCAGCTAGCGCTGCTCATACCCTGCAAGCAACACCACTGGGCTTGGTGCTTGGCTGATGCGGCCCCATCACCTGCAAACAGTACTGCTGTAGCCTAGGCAGCATGTTTGCAGGGGATGGGACCATGCCAGCCAAGCTCCGAGCCCAGCCAAGCCAAGCCCTGTGCCCGATTTTTTTGGTGCAGCACAGTATATAAATCGACTTTGATTTTTAAGACCCAAAAATTGGGCTTCAAAACCTGACTTGTACAGTGTGAAATATGGTAACTGTGTGGTTTACTCACTGTCAGAGTTGGGTTGAGGAGATCTTGCTTCTTCCAAAGTGTTGAATTACTCGGGGTATTTAAAGAGCGTAGGAGTCTGTTGTGAATCTTGGAAAACTCACTTCCAAGAGAGGTTAACATCCTGAACAGACTGTAGCAAGAAAAAAAGATACTACACTTGATCTGAGTACATACCGCATTTACTCAATTTCCCCCAATCAGCATAGGGGAAAAAAGCCCCATATCTTATATCTGCATATGAAGTGGAGAGTGGACCAAGGGAGCAGGAAGTATTTCTCAGAATATTTAAAGAGTGATGTATTCCCCAATTGAAAATCACACCATTTTACCAATTTTTACAACTTTTTAAGCACAAGTCAATAGATAAATGTTAAATGTATTACTTGACGAGTTGGTTTTGTTACTAAAGTTAAAAAATAGTTGGTAGATATTTTAAAAAGACCAATGATGAGTACTTTTGAAAATCCCACTCATAATTTCTAATCACGGGGCGCATCTACATGTGCTATTAATGTGCAGCAATAAACTCTGGTTTATTTCACCAGAGTTTATTGCTCCTGGGCGTTGCATTTGAACATACGCTTGGGACTGCAGCATGTTGAGCCAGGTTGGAGCACCCCCGGCTGGCAGGGGACCCGGGGCAGGGGGGTCAGCCTGCCAGCCTGGAGCTGTTCTGACCTGGTTCAATGTGGTGTGGAGGGGCTGACTGGGTCACGAGGGTGCTCCAGTGTGGGACTAGCTGGCAAGCAGCCTCCATACTGAAGCACCCTTGTGCCCCAACTGGCCCTGTCAGAATCTACATGTGTATTGCTGTGGAGTAAAATACTCCACTGTAGGACAGTACTTGTACTTACAAGTACTAACCTACTGCAGAGTTAATTAGTTTACTCTTTCCTAATAGCTCTGCATATGTAGACACTGAGACATTTACTATGGACTGGAAAAAGGCCAATGTGGTTCCCATTTTCAATAAAGGGAGGAAGGAGGACCCAGGGAACTATAGGCCAGTCAGTCTTACCTCGGTTCTGCGTAAGCTTTTTGAGAAAGTTATCCTGGCGCATGTCCACGAGGGGCCAGCAAGGGAGATTATGCTTGGGGGCAACCAACATGGGTTCATTAGAGGCAGGTCCTGTCAGACCAACCTAGTGGCCTTCTATGACCAGGTCACAAAATCCTTAGATGCAGGGGTAGCAGTGGACGTAGTCTTTCTGGACTTTAGGAAGGTGTTCGACACTGTCTCTCACCCCATTCTCATTAAAAAACTAGGGGACTGTGGCGTCGACACCTACACAGTCAAATGGGTCACTAGTTGGCTGGAGGGCCACACCCAGAGAGTGGTGGTGGACGGGTCATTTTCGACCTGGAGGGATGTAGGCAGTGGGGTCCCCCAGGGCTCAGTCCTCGGGCTCACACTGTTCAACATCTTCATCAGCGACTTAGATGAAGGTGTAAAAGGCACCCTGTTCAAATTCGCAGATGACACTAAGATGTGGGGAGAAGTGGGCACTCTAGAAGGGAGGAATAGGCTGCAATCAGACATAGACAGGTTACAGGGGTGGGCAGATGAGAACAGGATGGGTTTCAACACTGACAAGTGCAAGGTACTGCACCTGGGGAGGAAGAACCAGCAGCATACCTACAGGCTGGGGTGCTCCCTTCTTGTCAGTGCAGAGGCAGAAAAAGATCTTTGAGTCATTATTGATACCAAAATGAACATGGGCCGACAGTGTGGGGAAGCGGTCAGGAAGGCCAACCGCACCTTGTCATGCATCCACAGATGCATCTCAAGCAGGTCCAAGGAGGTGATCCTCCCCCTCTATGCGGCACTGGTCAGGCCGCAGTTGGAGTACTGTGTCCAGTTTTGGGTGCCGCACTTCAGGAGGGATGTGGACAACATGGAGACGGTCCAGAGGAGGGCCACTCGCATGATCAGGGGCAGCAGAGCAGGCCCTATGAGGAGAGGTTAAGGGACCTGAACCTGTTCAGCCTCCACAAGAGAAGGCTGAGGGGGGATCTAGTGGCCGTTTACAAACTGGTCAGGGGGGACCAGTAGGCATTGGGGGAGTCTCTGTTCCCCCAAGCACTCTCAGGAGTGACAAGAAATAACGGTCACAAGCTGGCAGAGGGTAGATTTAGGCTAGACATCAGGAGGCACTACTTCACTGTCAGGGCAGCTAGGATCTGGAACCAACTTCCAAGAGAAGTGTTGCTGGCTCCTACCCTGGGGGTCTTTAAGAGGAGGCTGGATGAACACCTCACCGGGGTCGTTTGACCCCAGTGCTCTTTTCTGCCATGGCAGGGGGGTGGACTTGATGATCTGCTCAGGTCCCTTCCAACCCTACCAACTATGAAACTATAATTAGGCAACTGCAATAAATGTCTTGTGTAGATGCACCCACAGATCCAGAAAGTTTGAGGATAATTTAGCTACATCCTGAGGTTCTTTTTTATGCCATGGGGGACTTGGAATATTCAGGTTAATATGGTTCTGATAAGCTTCAGAGCTGTTGATTATGATTTCCATTTCTGAGCATTGTCCCTTCCAGTTTGGGGATCACTTAATCTAGCCACCTTTCATCTCTGCTCCACACAGCGTTCTTCTCACAAGAAATAATTCTTGTTAGTTGATGACGTGCATGTGCTTTGAGTTTTCATTACACATTCTAATTGCACCTGAACTTCAGAAAGCTTACCTTTATCCTTGTATATTTTACATACTGTGCATAGATTTTATCACAGCCTTTCTTTTGTTGGATGCAGTGAAGGGCCAGTGCAAATCACTCCTGAGCAGCCTAAAGCCCCCAACCTATCCATTTCACTAATTCTGCAGCACCCCTTGGTATTTGATTAGCACATTTTATTTATTTCCTTCTTGAATTTTATGTGCTGCATTTCTAAGCAGTGTTGAAACAGGAGCAGAGCAAGATCATTAAGTAATGTCTAATCTTGAGAGGGGGCTTGATTTATTGAAACTGGTGGTTAGTGATTAACCTTCTTGGATGCTGTACTAGAGTTTTCTGCATGTAAGCACCTAGTAAAATGCTTTGGTAATAGCTGGAAATTAAGTTTCACTAAAAGACCATTTTTTGTGACAGCTTTAGGTGTTCTGGTATTTTGCTAGAACTATTTCTGGCTGAGCACTATGGGCCTTTTGAAAAGAAATTGCATCAGAGTGGTATTGCTGTTAGAATTTAGTGTGCTAGAATAACTGACACCTCGTACCGGACTCCAGTTGCTGTTCAGGGACACCAAGTGCTGTCTCCTGTTCTGGAACTGAATCTGTTGCCTTAGTAGTGGTCTCTGTCCTCATAGTGTTAGGTGGCATGTGATGTGAAATTAGGACCAGCAGAGTAACTTTGCTTTTCGTAGTTCAGGGGCAAGCAAAATACAGCCCGCGGGCCGGATCCAGCCCGCCAAGCACTTTCATCCAGCCTGTGGCGCCAACCAACAAATTGTGCCTTGCCCAGCCTTTCCACCTGTGAGAGTGGGAGCAAGATGCACACATGTATACCACCTCCCCCCAAACATACCCTGTTGCCTCGCTCCCACCCTCATGGGCAGACGGGCCTGGTTCAGGAAGCGTGCAGCTTCCTCATGGGGCTGGTGCTGCCATTTCCACTGCTGCAGCCCACAGGGACCTGCTTGCTTCCCTGGTCTCCTGCTGGCTCCGAGCAACAGGTAGGGAAGCAGCGGTGATGGGGCTGAAGCTGGGTAGGAGCTGGTGGCAGTGTGGAGCCTGTGCCCAGGGGGATGGGCGGTGGCAGCGCATAGCTGGGATGGGCAGCGTGTGGGTGGGAGGGAGGGTGGGGGATGTGGGGATCCCCTCACACTTCCCCCCATGGTGCACAGTCCCAGCAGGCAGTGGCAGCAGCAGCAGATGGGGCACAGATGCCCAGTGGCACGTGGCTCTGGCCAGCGCTGTACGTTGGCGAGGGGGCCCAGCCTCCCCTGGGCAGTTTGTATAGCCAGCACTCCCCGCCACTCACATGCAGCCCCTGCAATCGCACAGCATGAGAGGGAAGTCCCACATGCTGAAACTGGCTGACTTCCTCGCCAGGGCTGTGTAGCACTGGAGAGAAGCCTCAAGCGCTGGAGCCATCTGCCTTCCCCTCTGGGGCTTCGCAGCCCCATGCGCTGGAGCCAACTGCCTTCCCCACTCCCCCAGGGGAAGGAGCCTAGGGCTTCCCTTCCCTGTAGCGCAGCTTCAGCGGGGAAGGCAGCTGGCACCAGCATGTGGGGTTTCCCTTCTGTGCTCTGCCAGTGCAGGGGCTGCATGTGAGTGGCAGGGAGCACCAGTGATACAGATAGCCCGGGGGAGGCTGTACCCCTCGCTGTGATTGTTCAGCACTGGCTGGAGCTGCAGCCCAACAGGTGCCTGTGCCCTGAGCGTCTTGCCTGCTGTTGCACCATGAGGGTGTGGGGGGGGTTCCCACACCCCCACCCTCCCTCACACCCACACCCTGCCCCCACAACCCCTCACAAATACATAATCCCCAACATACCCTGTGCCCCCCACACCCATACCCCACCATACAGAGCCCCCCACAATTTACAAATCTAAGAATTTATTTTTGAGTTCATAGTTGATAGGGTCGGAGGGGACCTGAGATCATCAAGTCTGACCCCCTGTCATGGGCAGGAAAGAATGCTGGGGTCAAACAACCCCAGCAAGGTGTCTATCTAGCCTCCTTTTGAAGACCCCCAGGGTAGGAGCGAGCACCACTTCCCTTGGAAGTTGATTCCAGATCCTAGCTGCCCTGACTGTGAAGTAGTGCCTCCTGATGTCGAGCCTGAACCTACTCTCAATCAACTTGTGGCCGTTATTCCTAGTTACTCCTGGTAGTGCCCGGGGGAACAGGGACTCTCCCATTCTCCACAGGTTCTCCCTGGTAAGTTTATAGATGGCCACCAGATTCCCTCTCAGCCTTCTCTTGTGAAGGCTGAACAGGTTCAGGTCTTGTAGCCTCTCTTCGTAGGGCCTGGCTGCTGCCCCTTGACCATGTCAGTGGCCCTCCTCTGGACCCTCTCAATGCTGGCCACATCCCTCCTGAAGTGCGGTGCCCAGAACTGGACGCAGTACTCCAACTGTGGCCTGACCAGTGTCGCATAGAGGGGAAGGATCACCTCCTGGGACCTGCTCATGATGCATCTGTGGATGCGTGATAAAGTGAGATTAGCCTTCCTGACTGCGTCCTCACATTGGCAGCCCATGTTCATCTTGGAATCAATAATGACTCCAAGATCCCTTTCTGCCTCTGTGTTAACTAGAAGGGCGTTCCCCAGCCTGTAGGTATGCTGCTGGTTCTTCCTCCCCAGGTGCCATACCTGGCACTTGTCAGTATTGAATCCCATCCTATTCTCATCCCCCCCACCCCTGTAACCTGTCCAGGTCTAGTTGTAGCCTGTCCCTTCCTTCAATCATGCCCACCTCTCCCCACATTTTAGTGTCATCCACGAATTTGAACAAGGTGCTTTTCACCCCCTTGTCCAAGTCACTGATGAAGATGTTGAACAGTACAGGACCAAGGACCGAGCCCTGGGGAACCCCACTGCCCACATCCCTCCAGGTCGCAAATGCCCTGTCCACCACCACTCTCTGGGTGCGGCCCTCTAGCCAATTTCTGACCCATCGAACTGTGTAGGCATCAACACCACATTCACCTAATTTTTTAATGAGGATGGGGTGAGAGACAGTGTTGAAGGCCTTCCTAAAGTGCAGAACGACTACGTCCACCGTGACACTTGTGTCCAAGGATTTTGTGACCTGGTTGTAAAAGGCAACCAGGTTGGTCTGACAGGACCTGCCCCTAACGAATCTATGTTGGTTGCCCCTGAGCATAATCTCCCCTGTGCTCCTGGATAATTTTCTCAAAGAGCTTCCCCAGGACTGAGGTAAGACTAACGGGCCTATAGTTATTGGGGTCCTCCTTCCTCCCTTATGCAGTCACCTCTGTATATAGTACACAAATCATGACAAAAGTATTTTTTGTAATAAAATTAAAATATGTTATAGTAGGTGTTTGACTTTTAGGTTATGATTTGCTTTTTTTTCTGGTTCTAAGATGGCAACCCCCCTGCCCTCCAAAAGGAGTATTTCCTGGGGAGGGGAGGACAGGGAGGCAAGAGCAGGGACTTCCAGTGGCAAAGGTTAGGGGGTAGGACATTCGGTCCCGAAGATGGCATCAGGGGCAGGGCAACTGTCAAGGGGTGGGGCTACCCATGCAACCCTCAACAGCTCACCAAAACTCGCTAAGCAGCCCTCTACTTGAAATAATTGCCCACCCTTGTCATAACAGATCACTAGAGCAGGAGAAGATCTTGTTCCACACCTACCTGGACTGAAGCTGAATTGGCAGATTACAGAATAAAAGCTTTTATATCTATTTACAACATTTTGAAGCATTCACTCCACCTGTTCATTACAATTCATAGATAGAACAGTACCACATATACTTGAATATAAGATAATACTGCATAATTAGATTCTACATATGGAAAATTTATAAATTTGTTAGTTTTCCAGGTATACAGTCTAAGTATCAGAGGGTTGCCTTGAATCCTCCATGCCTCCCCCTGCTACAGCAGGGAAAGCAGTGGCGGGTGGGGGGGGTGTCATGTAACCCCGCCCCCGCCCTCTGCCCTGCTCACTTCTTCCCCATTACAGCCTTCTTGCTCCCCTGCTACCTGCCCCCTCCCCACAGCCTCTGCCTTTCCCCTCCCCGGTCTCTGCCTCTTTCCCGTGCCCTCCTCCCCCTTCCTGCGAGATGTTGCTTGAGCTGATCTGCTCTGTCCTGTGCTGACATGGAAGCTTAGCTCTTGTCTGGCCATGCAGTAGTGTCAGCGCTGCTTATTGTCTAGCCAAAGGACGGAGTTCCATGTCCTGTGCCCAGGAGTGATTCCAACCCAAGCTGGAGCCAAGCTGTGCCTTACAGTAAGGGACAAGAAGGCAGAAGCTGCAGTGGGGGGGACTGGTGTGGGTCTGACTCTGCCCCCCAACCTGGGGTCAAGGCCAGAGTCAGAGCTGCAGCAGGAACCTGCTCCCCTTTCTGCTTTGTATGTGAATATAAGATGATGGCTTTTTTCCCCATGCTGATTGGGGGAAAAACTTTGTCTTGTATTTGAGTACGTGCGGTATGTGTTCAGATCAAGTGTGGTAATAAAATTTAATCTCATCTATTAATAAAATTCACTTTTTTTTTCCTTGGTACAACCTGTTCAGGCTGTTAACCTTTCTCGGAAGTGAGTTTTCCAAGATTTGCAACAGATTCTTACTTTATTAAACATTAACAATTTATTAAAATAAATTATTTCTCCATTGTAGAAAACTTGAGGATCCTGTCACTGGGGAGAAATAACATAAAGAATCTAAATGGATTGGTATGTCCCACTTTGAATTCTATGTTGTTTTTTAATTTAAGCAAAAACGTTCTAGATTACTCTAGCACTAAAGCATAGGGGAGTTCCCTTTTCTCCAACCTCCCTCATCTTCATTCACCTCAATCTTACTGTCTGACCATTCCTTTTGTTTCCCATCTTCATGCCCTCCTACAGGTTCTTTTGCAGCTCAGAATAATCTCCCATTTTATTTTGTACTGGACAACTATATTCGCATCAAATCTGACCTTAAAACACTGTTGTAGACTCTGAATGCTAATCTGCAACAGAAAAACATATCGCAATACCAATAATCCTAATAAAGACTAACAAACTTTTCCTTTGAAATGTACATTGTTTGCTACCCTAATTCTCCCAACCAGTCCACTTTTGCAGACTCCCTTTGTTGTTGCCTTGCATTTTCTAATGCAGAATTTGATCGTTTACACACTGAACGTCCACTATTTTCAGTGGAGATTCTACACGCATAGGAGTTGCAATATTGGGCTATTGGCTTGAAAGATCTGCAAGTAAAAACTTGCATTTCCTGTATTTGCAAAGCATCATAAGCTCCAATATGCCATAAACTCCCTCGGTAGTATCTGAATGACAGTTTCTGATGGCTTTGCTTAAATGAATCTTCCTCCTTCCAGGAGATGTTTATAGATTGTGTTCCAATACTGCACATATTGGTCAGCCTTTGAACCCACATTATGAGTCTCTACCCCTCCTGGAGATCATTGGCACTCTTAACAACAGGATAAAAGGCCGGGGACATAGACATTGGTGGAAAGTCAGGGATGGGAGTCAGTATAGAAAATAAGGCAACGTTCTAGAGGAGAAGAAATGGAATAGGATTAATTTTGCTACGTTTGATGAGAACAGGACAGACACATTCTTATGAACTGAATGTTTTAAAGCAAAGAAATAAAAAGAAGCATTTTGTTCTTCAAGAGAGAGTCTGCATTCCTGATTACAGGATACAACTTTTTAAGACAGTTGCCTAGCTCAAAGTCAAGGTCACCATCTTGTACAAGAGTGAATGTACCAAGATGACTATTCTTCTTCTTTGAGAGTCATGTCTTGTTGGAGAATTGCTGAGGACAGAAAGTGCAGTATTAACCCTTTAGTTACAAATATTCACTTGTTTGAGGCAGTTCCCCATAAACAAAGCTTTCTGACATTGGTGGTGAACTGTAGTCATCAGTACCATAGAACTGTCTGCATATAGATAAATCCAGTCCTCTCTATCCGTATGACTCAGGTAGATCATCTGCTCTGCTTAGACATTCAGTGGGAGCATCTACACATACATTAATGAACCTTTTCTAATGCACATTTAATACCTTCAATATGAGGCTGTGCTAATGTGCAGTAGGCATTTGCATGTTTTTTCAGTGAAACTTCATGAACAGTAGACTGTTTTACTGAGTATTAGCATAAAGTCATGTTTTTTTACATGATGCTTTAAAATACTCAGTAAAATAGTCTACGGCATGTTAAAGCACACGTGTAGACATGCCCACTATATTTTACTGGAGCCTTGATTTTTTTTTTTCCTTAATAGCCCTGGAGACTTACTTCAGAAATTTTGAGTTTGAACTTGCTTGGGTGTTTGTCACCCAGAATTAGGAAAAAGCAAAGAATATGGAGGGATGTGGCTCTTTTTTGTGAGACAAGGGTGAAGTAGTAAGCTGAGAATTATGAGAAGATTTATCTGAGAGGTGTTTTCATTTTTTCAGGAAGCAGTTGGGGATACATTAGAGGAGCTGTGGATCTCATACAACTTTATTGAGAAGCTGAAGGGGATCCATGTCATGAAGAAGTTGAAGATTCTATACATGTCCAATAATTTGGTGAAAGATTGGGGTAAGTCAGGGTTCATGGTTTCTGCTCTGCAATTTCTTACTGTATATAGTGAATTGCACCCAGTGAGTCAATATGAGTCATGGTATGGCTGATAGCATTGTGCCTTCTATCAGTGAACAAGTTCTCTAGATACCTGTTTGTGCAAGAGATTTTCTCAATATTTTTTAACTCTGTATATTCAGTTTCTAAGTCAAGTGGGATTTATTCTTTAAATTGTCTTTCTCTCATTTTTTTTATAATGTGAGAACTTTCACCCTTCATCCTTGAGACAATGCTTGCTTTTTTTTCCCCCAAAACAAGCTGGTTGCATCTTTGCTGATTTCATAAAATAGCTTTGGTGCAGATGTGTTTTCATGTCCCACAGTCAATTTTTTACTTCTTCTTTTGTGGCTGCAGCAGAGTTTGTGAGACTGGCAGACTTGCCGTTACTGGAAGATCTGGTGTTTGTTGGCAACCCACTAGAAGAGAAGTACTCCGCCGACCAGCAGAGCAACTGGGTTGAGGAAGCCACCAAGCGAGTGCCTAGACTGAAAAAACTAGATGGTGAGCTTTGGGTAGCAAGTGGGCAGTTAATAAGAAATTTTATTAGCTTAATCTACTGTAAACACTAGGAGAGTGGATCAGCACCTAACCAGTCCAGCTGTGGGATCTTGGGGCAATACCCTTTATTTTGCCTTTTAGTTGTTACATATTCTCTTCTAAGCTAGATAAATTAGCCAGCCAAGGCCTCAGCTTTTCCTGTACAGATTTAGGTATTTTGGAGAGTTGGAAAAAGTGGATTCTGTGGAACTCCTTAGTTAGTTTCAGCCCTCAAAATAAGTTAATTGAAAGAATCTCTGTCCTAAAGATTTGAGGTACTCCTGCTCCCAGTTCACTACAACTGTTGAGAGGGTCTTGCTTCGATATGATCTTCACATACTACCTAGCATGCCTTCAAGTTATCTTGTTCAAACTGCTTAAACTGAAACATGCTTAGGACTCAGGGTTCAGGACTCAAAGTTTGGGACTCAGGGTTTCCTTACTAGTAATTGGTGGTATGAACAAAGCTTAATCCTGGAAAGAGCAGGCATTTTGTATTCTGCTTCCAGAAACAGGGATGTAATTGCTTGCAGGATTAACACAGAATTCCCACACTGTCTCAGCAGGTAAAACAGGAAATTATTTTTAAATATTTTGTTTAAAAACATTCTCTTACATTAATATTTTAAGATTATAAACCTTTTTTGGTACTTGTTAAAGCATTTAGATTTGCCTTAAAGGAGAAATTAAAGAACTCAGCAGTATTCCTGCCCAGAGCAGGGGGTTGGACTTCATGATTTTTTGAGGTCCCTTCCAGCCCTTAATTTCTATGATTCTATGAACTCCCTTTTTATTGACTAAAATTCTGGAAGTCCTTTGTGGGCGGTTTGGGTAATAAGGGATGAGGGAGAAGAGTGCATGGAGAGGGAAGAGGAGAGGATGATTTAGGCAAATGGTTGGAGAAAACAGGAACTCAGAGCCAGAATGATTGAAGAGAAGGTTAGGCAACTTTGCACATGTGGAATGACAGGAACTTTAGGAGCATACGATTTTGTGGCAGCTGAGCTGTAGTTTTGAGAATGTCAGTCATACCTAAAGGGTAGACTTTAGTACCTAATCTCTTGCTTCTCTTCACCTGTCCTAGCTGGCTAGTAAATTGCCATCAGACTTCTGTATATGAGGTCTGTCAGTGATTCCTAGTAGAACTTCTCTCGCTCTCTCTTTTTTTTTCTCTCCAGGTATCCCAGTTATTAAACAAGAAGAAGGTGAAGAAGGAGAGAACTAACACAACTATTTCTTGTTTGGCATTAAATTATTTAAGAAGCTCTGGAACAATTCAGTATACAAAGCTTTTGTATAAACATTTGTTTTGAAAATGTTCAGGCAACATTTTAAAATTAGCTCATCTCCATACTCTTGTCTCACCCAAAGAGTTACTTACCAAAATCAGGGGATGCCACCTCTGTGCATTTTGTTCCCTGGTTTAGGAATTAGTGAATTGAGGTTGCCTGCTGTTTGATTAATTAGAGGCCTTTTCCTAAAAGATGGATACAATTTTTTATCCCTGAATAGTGCTGCTTGTAGATCAGTCTTGGGTAACAGTAAAACAATGTTGTTTGTCAACTTTGTCCAGCTGACACTAACATTTAAAACATGAAGGCCAAAACAGCAGTGTTTTATGTAAAAGCCTCTTTATACGCTATGCTCTCACAAGGATTGGAACACTTTAAATATGTGAGGCTTCCTTTTATGCTTCTTCAACTATTATGCCAATTATCTGTAGCCAAACAGACCTAATAGTTGTCATGGGCTTATGCCTTAAAAAGGTATTGCTAACAATTTTGTGCCATCAGTCATAGGCCCAGAATTGGCTGTTCCAAGATACATTAGCCTCTCAACATCATAACCCAGAAGGCTGCAAATATTTTTATATATTTATTTATTTTAAACGAAGAAATGGAAATTCTTTACATGGCTTCCAGTGGAGTTAAATTACCTATTGTTTTTTCTTTACATTAAATAAAAAGTAGATGCTTTAGGATTGAATCCATAGACATACTCGCCCTAAGTGGCTTGTGATATTAGCCAGAACATGACTTTCTTTTTAGCAGGCTAATGAATGCAGTCCTTCACAGCTCTAGAATCTTGCAGTAAATTAAGGAGGTTGGCACCTTGCCAGAAACAAACAAACAGAAGACTGGGGCTTGAGAATACCTTTCATAAGCTTTGATTTGAGGATACTCACATGTTTCAAAAGCACAGATATAGGCAGCGGAATTAAGCGTGCATGTAGCTGGTAGAGGAGAAGAAAGGAGTTTGGAAACAGGAACAGAAAAATAAATATTTATGGGAAGCAATATGTCCCCCTGTCATAAGGGTTCATTTTAAGTGAAGCCCGCCGATTGTTATAAAGAAATTCTTTTCAATGAAAAGTGTGAAGTAGTGATTAGAAAAAGCACTTAAATTTACTGTATGGGTCATTGCAGACTTCTCCCTTCTTAAGAATCGATAAAATGTCATACAGGTTTTTCCAACTCAGGTTTTTTAACTTCTAGGGCTTTTTTTTTCTATTCCTGATGCTCTTCTAGTTTAATTTTAAATTATAATGGTAACAATAAGCACATTGCTCAATCAGGAACAAACAGTGAGGGAAGAAAGCAAGCACATCCGCACTCTTGCTTTGCCTCGTATTTCTGAAGTTGTGGCAGTGGCTGAGTTTTTGAACACAAGGGCACAGATGAGAACCATGATGCAGTTGGCCCCAGACAAGTATTATACAGCTTTTGGTATTACAAACAGCATCCTTAATTTCCCTAAGTCTAATTTTGATAGAAGAGAATCCCAACTTTGATAATCAATCTGCAAGTGAACAGTGTGAAGTTAAAGACTAAAAGGAGCACTCAGTGTTAATTAACTTTGTTTATAGTTACTCTGCACCTTCCTACAGGAAGTTATGACTTCCTTGCTGATAAAGTGTCCATGGCAGGTAAGAGTCAAATATAATTTCTGTTGTTCCTTTTTGACAAACAGTTGCAGAGCACTTTTTGCTTTCGATATATTTCACCTAGGATGATTCTAGGCAGTCTCTGTTGACCTGAATGCATTCTGCTTCTCCTCTCTCTTTC